GATTTAAATATTAGTGATTAGATGATGATACGATGTATTTATTTTTTTTCAAGGCTGACTGATACGAAAATCACGAAGGATTAGAAAATGTTAATGAGCTGCCAAAGCAGATTGTGAGATTGTCTATGCATGAAGCACATTCTGTGCAATGCATTTCTCTGGTCTTGCTCAGATATCCTTTTAATTCAACTTAAAAATGAAAGATGAGAGGGTTACCATTTTAATATTTGCTATGGTAAATGTTTATTATCGTTGTATATTATTAGTTTTGTTAATTTGAAGTAATCCATCCATAAAACACAGAATGCACTGAAAGTGAGTGAGTTATATTCAAACCACCAATGTGCAGAAAGTGTTACACGTAGCTGAACTTTGGACTTAACAGCAGCACATCAAAGATTTTTTTTTTTAAATATTTTGTCCTCACTACACGCAGACAGAAACTACAGGCTGAGCTGTGTCTTACAGCTGCTACTGTTACATGATATTTTTATACCCACCCACTTTGGGAACCTGTGTGTTAATACTGCGGAACTGCTGTGTTGTTACTCAATATTATACAATTAGAATCTCATACTGGCCCATCTCCACTGCACTGTAGAAGTGAAACCCATAAGGACTGGAGTACAGCAGAGAAGAGTCTAAGAGGGTTGCTGTGTTTAGCTGTGCCATCTCACCTTCTTCAAAGTGAAAATGAGAAAGTATTTTTGTCTTGTCTATGTAAAAAAAAAAGTGTCTAGAAGTTTGGGAGTGAATCTTGGTGTGATAAAACACGTGTTTACTTTGTGTGCGTGTCACAAAAGAAGACGGGTGTGTGTTTGTGTGTCAGCATATCTAATTGGCTGAGACAAGCAGGTGTAAAACAGTAATTAATGGCACAACTGACTGACTTCATTATCTCCACGTGAGCTTCTCATGCTGCCTGAACACACATGCACGCATACACACACACACACAAAAACCAACATAGAGAGAATTTACGTAAACGTCACAACGAACCCCTGTTCACTGTGTGCGCAAAAGTATGTGTGTTTAATGGTATAATAGCAAAGCGGTGCAGATAAGTGGACACGATCACTGCGCAGGTCGCCGCTTGGCCACTCGAAAACGCTCATTTAGCTTTCAAATGGACTCATTACTAATGAATCGCAAGCTGCTTTAGAGCAGGCTGAGCGCACAGTAATGGTTTGGCCATCTTCCACAATCCCAGGCCCAACGCGCTCTTACACGCGCACGCTTGCATTGACAGAGATTGAGAGCGAGTGTCCAAAAGCTCCAATTACCTTCACGTCCATGTAAGAGAACAAGCTAGAAAGCTAATTACATATAACTCACATGCAAGACGAAAAACGATCAAGCACCCACACTTTCCTGGCAGGGTAATTTGTTGCCAGAAATAAAGCATTCTCGTGTTTTTGCGATTGTTAATGTTTACAACAAGCTCGTTCGAGAAAATGCGCCTGTGTCATTGTGTTATTACCATAAGTCATTATTACACCCCCCTGAGCCCAATAAGCTTTATTAAATCATCAATAAGACTGTATAATTTAATGATCCCAGTTTTAGCCAGATTGATTTACACTTCAGTGCTCTGCCAGGCCTGAACGAGATCAAATGAAACTCGATGCCTCCAAATGCAGCATGTTGTCATCCAGTAATTGGAATAAATATGCTTTTTTAACTACTGCTAAAGCGCATTCCCCTCATAGTGGTTTGCCAGGACGAACATATCACTGCTGCTCTTTCCTGCTCTGGTGGGTGACTGAGTGAGTGAGATGGCAGTGATCGGGCAGAGTAATTTGACCTAATGAATATGTCGACAGCCTGTTTCTTTCTCTCCCCATTAAACACTGCTGGATTAGATTTACTGTGCTTACTCTAACAACTTAAAGACTCCATCAGTACGGCACTTTCCACTCTCACAAACACACGTACACGCACACACACACACACACACACACACACACACACACACACATACGCATACACGCACACAGATTGGCCTAGCTCAGTAGATCAATGGCCTCTTGGTCAATGTCTCCTTTGGGAGGGTTATCCATCAGCTCCTCACTAATGAAACAATCTGATCACCATGTCTGTGTGTGCGTGTTTTATGAGAGTGTGTGTGTGTGTGTGCGTGTGTGTGTGTATGTATGCGTGCTCTCATGGGTGTCAGATTGGTTTTAAAGCACATGGATGTAGTGTCATGTTGTTGCTTTGTAGGTTAATTACAGCTTGTACTATTTTAAATACTTTAAACCACTTGCGCACTATACTCATTACAAATATATTTTACAAGTCTTCTTATGAAGGTTGTGGGAGAGAATTATTTGTAACCAACATGACATTTGTTGTTGTTGTTGCCAGGTTTCGGAGCCACTTTGCTGAAGATATTAACGAGGGATGCTATACTTTGTGGATCTGTGAACTTTCACTGTAAGAATATTTCTGTCAGGTCAACAAGACCCAGCCAGCGCTGAATCGGTTTACTGTTCCTCAACACCGCCAACAAGTGTATTGAGTAAACTGGTCTTTGCATAGATTAGAGATAAAGAGATCCGTGCTTCCAATTTGTCAGATTTGCCACAAAAATGAGTGGATCAAAGCTACTAATACCGCCATCCGGGAAAAAAATCAAACACTTTGAACACAACATCCCATGTGGTGAATGTCAGCATGACCTGCAAGTGCACTCTGGAAGCTGACTATACCCAAAGCTTTTTATCTGCCTTCGGTGGAAGGATCATTGTTTTTTTATGATACACTTTATTTGTACTCAGTCAGGTTTTCAAGTTTCCAGCTGGAAATTAACAACTCCCTGAAGTTGAAGCTCCACCAAATTAAAGGTCTTTAATCAGCTGCGAGTTTATTATCCAACATGGCTCCCACACATCTGAAGCATACAGAAAAAAAAAACAAAAAAACATTTGTATTTCCTCAAGCTATATTCACACTTATGCACAATATCATTTTGTGATCATGTGCTTTTACTGTTTGATTTCATAGCATATGAAGAAATGCAATGATAATTTTACAGGTTACAACTGTGATCAGATCCAATGTGATGTTGTTCCAATATACGAGCCCAGGTTTTTGGGATAAATTGAAACACAGCACTGGTCCTCCGTGTTCTTTAGACACTTTTTACTTCACTTTTGATGTAATCTTTAATATTCTGACATTAGAACTCCTCCTTGGTTATGGTTTGGAAAACATTTGATGGCCCACTATCTTCATAAAAAAGCCAAAATTATTTTGTTTTTTTTTTTTTTTTACTGTGTGAAGGTGGTCATACCTTCCAGTCTGTTGGAGGCATTAATTTTGTATTCTACACCTGCCCATTAAAGCCCACCAAGACAGTTTGATTCTTCCTGTGCAGTCTAGATTGTTGTGACTGCACAGTGTTTTAATAAAGTCTATAAAAGCCTCATTCAATGAGTGGCACCAAATACACCCCCAAATACACAAAACAGTGAGTTGGTTCAAGACCAGATTTTTTAAAGTTACATTTGTTCTTAGAAACTACTGCGTGTGGAGATGTGTATTTTTTCATTTAAGTAATCATCTGAGACAGTAAGGACACTGGGATCCACATATATCCAGGCTGATAAAATGATTTTAAGCTATCTCTATGGACAGACCTTTTTTATGTAAAGCAAATCAATATGTTACTATGCATTAATTACCCATAGTTATAAAGTCTTGCTATAATGCACTTCAGCAGCTAAAGTTGGAAGATTTTAGCTCAAAGTTGTTTATGTCGTCTTTGCATGAAATTATATAATTTTAATTTCCTTCCAGTGGAACCTTTCCAATTTATATAAAAAGCACTGTATACGGCATTTGCTAAATAAAATAACTACTCTGTGTGCTTTTAAGTTCTCCTCAGACTCTTGTTAGAGAGTGGTACATTCAGTTTGTTTTGTGACCTTTTCAGAAACTAAGTGGCGAGGTACATCTAATTTGTCTGGGAAGGCAGCAATATATTTCAAGTAGGGTCTGCAGCATTTCAATGGGAACTTTTTTTTTTTTTTTAAACTTTCCCGGTTTCCATGATTCAGAGAATATATGAAGGTCACTTTAGTTTTCTGTGTATCTGTTTATTGTTGAATTGTTATTGAGTAATTGAGTCATGTCTTTTTCTAAACGTTCTGTTTATTGTGGCCAGTAACGGAGAGAAAAGCTTAAGGTTTTTTTTCAGTTGCTCTGAAATTACCAAAAGTTGGACGGCAGAGCAACAGTACCACTCTGGTCACAGCTGAATTTCCACCCATCATTGACTTCAATTTCTTTTTGGGCTTTGATGATCTCTTTGACTCAAAGCGAGGCTCCCAGAAGCATAATGGTCCAAACACTTCACAAGGTGTTTCTGAAACGGATAAAGATGGCTATCATAAAGCTTCTTGAAAACATTAAATGTACTGAAAATTTATAGATTTTGCTTTAAAAATGCCTCAGTGCCAGGAAGAAGCGTGGTCAAATGTCCAGACAAAATGACGCTGGTGGCTGCAAAAAAAAAAGAAAAAAAAAAGCATTTGATTGAGGTTGGAATTTCTTAAGCTGTGTAACAAAATTAAGTAGTTTAATTTTAACTCTCTGGACATTTAAGAAAGTGAATCCAAGTATGAGTGCTTAATTCTTGTTTTTCAAAAATCATTAAAGTTGAATGTTGAACAGTTTAGCTTTTGGAATAAATTAAGCAAAGCCTCTAATAGCAGGACGGACAGGAATGAAGTGAAGATATTGTCCATTGAGTATTGTTTTTGTACAATTAATTAATAAAACATTAGAAACAAGAGCAACAATTACATTTTTTAAATGCATTTGATTATTTAATGTTTTCTGTCTGAGTAAAGGCCTAACTGTCGATTATGAACACCTGGTTTATGGAAATGCTCTAAAATTGAACGAAAGCATAGATAAACTCATCCTACTTTGTGAACTTTCCTTATAACTTGTTGTGTTGCCTCCACTGATCTAATTACAATATTTTTCCCTCCTTTCTCTTTTGTCTCTCCCCGTTTTGCTCCCTCTCTTTGCAGTTTGACGTGCTGAAGTGCTTCTTAAGGTAAGATTCCCATTTTTCGTGTTTTGCTTCTGTTCTTCGTACCCTGACATTTTACCCACAGCGCACCACATGCCATCAACAGTCAGTACAGTGTGTGCGTGCGTGTGTGTGTGTCAGTGTAAGATCTGGGACCTCGGAACATATTCTGCTCACTAAAACACAATAACACCGTGTTAAGATAACAAAGACACTGAGTGGCAGGGAGCTCCACCACGGCTTCTGATGTGTGCCGAACTGAATCAGAAGTAGAACACTTTTTACTGAAATACTTGCGACTCGTTTGCAATATTTTTCACCGCGTTTCATTTAATAGTTTTAAATCAAGACAATGGATCATGATTTTGTGATGTAAATCTGAACAGTGTTTGAGAGTACTGTGTTAAAGCTCATAAATCCCCCCTCCTGGGGGGCCTTAAAACCGTCACAATCTGTTATTCATAATAAGGTCCACCAGGGAAAAACAAGAGCAAAAGTAAAAAACTTTTTTCAGAACGCAATGACAATGGTAATGTTTATGGAGTGCAGTTTCCAGCTGTACTATATCTCACGCTTATTGCTTTCAGGCTGGAATGCTCTGTAATAATGCCAGCAGACTCACAACAGTTTCAAAAGAAAATTAAATCCACCACCGTGCTATAGACTGGCTCTGACCTTGTGTTTGGGTACACAGGGTTCCTTTGTAATATCTGACTGAAGCGTAACTGTGAGCCTGGGCAAACTGGGGTGTACATGTTGTGCCTTTTTCTTACTTTCGTTCGACAACCAAATGGTTTTAGGCTGTAGATGGCCGTTTATTTTAACTCCATTGTCTGTTTAACCTGCTGTGAAGCACGTTTACGAAAACAATAATGACAATTAGAGAAAATTAGAATCAATAACATTGGAAAAGCCCACATATTCTTCTAAAAAAAAAAACACACGTTTGAATATTGTTGGAAAGTTGATTTCAAAAATTCAGCTTATTCCACAGTTTGTTTTTAAGTGTTTTTCTGTTCATTTAGATGATATCGACTTTAGAGCTACTAAAAACAAAACAAATTCAGTTTCTCAGAAAATTTGGAATGCTATAAAAATGTTGGCATTCTGAAAAGTAGTTTCTCTATATACTGAACTGTGTTTGCACCAGTGCTTGGTCCGGTCTCACCTTGGATTAATTACTGCATCAATGCGATGTGGTATGGAGTGTGGCAGCTTGAGGATCTGCTGAGGTGTTGGGAGAAGTTGCTTTTACATCAAACTTCAGCTCTTCTACTTCTTGGATATACTTCTGAGATTTACTTTGAGGTTTATCTCTTGCCAGTGACACCACAGTCATTAAAGAAGGATTTGGTACTTTTGGCAGTGTGGGCAGGTGCCACACCCAGCTGGAAAAATTAACTCAGCATTTACTTAGAACTTGTTAGCAAAGTTTAGAATGGAGTTCTGCACAGAGTTTCCTGGTGGACGGCTGTGTTTGCTTTGGACTTGATAAAACTCACATAACCTCTGTCCCCACTGACTGTGAAAACTTCACACTAGATGTGATGCAAATTGAATTCTGTCTACTCATTCTACAATTCATCTGGATTTCCTAATGAAATCCAGAATTAAGCTTTATCTGAGACGGGGATTTGAACCGTGAGCAGCAGTCCAGTCCTTTTTCTCCTTATCCCAAACGGGAGACGTCTCACATTTTCTCTGGGTTAGCAATGGCTCAGCACACAGAATCCAGCAATTTTAGTTCATGTCCTGAATTCATCTGTATATGGTGCCTCTGGCCGCCTTATGAATTTCCCTGAGACTCTTGAATTGGCTTCAATACCGAATTCTGTCGAGGCTTCTTGTTGACATTTTATCTACGGGACAACCTTCAAGTCACTAGCCATCTTCATGATTGTGTTGGCCAAAACAAAACATTTCCATAAAAAAAGTTTATTTTTATTAGTCCTGAGTAAGATTAAAATTTTCTGAGAAAACTGAATTTTTGTTTTGTTTTGTTTATTTAAAAAAAAAACAATGATCATGCTTATTTTAACATGATTATTAAAATAATGATCATGTTGCAGAAACTAATAGTCCTCAAGACAGACATTTGGTGTTTAGATCCTGACCTTTTGACCTTTACTCCTACTTTGTCTTCCCTCTCTTTTGTTTTTGCCCATTTAGTGTCTGAGTAATGTGACTAAAACCTACAGAAAAAACTTTAAAAAAAATAGAGCACTCTATTGACTATGATAAATGGGTCAATTAAACCACTGAGAAGAAAATGCAATTTTATGATTTACTAAGATGCACTTGTGCATCAACAGTGGAAAAATAAATCCACTGCACTGAACAAAAAGCTACCAAGGAGAAATAGAATTGATGAAAAAAGTATTCTCTTGGTAAAAATAAATCGTATGTCTCTGCTTTTCATGCTTTCTTTTGGCATCAATGATTTAAATTTGTGTTACAGCCCTTTTTTGTATCTCAACAAACCTAAAATGAATGAGCTCCAAGAACCTGGATGATGCGATGTTTTTTGTTTTTTTTTAAATCTTGGTTTTGTTACGGGTGCAGCATCTGCATGCAGTAGAGAAAGTGCAAGAAACCAGATAAAAATGCTGAAAAAGAATATTTATGAGCAAAATGAAACTCCAGGGACAAGTGAAAAGGAAAGGTGAGCATATTTATTCTTACAAGCAACGACTAAGTTTTCTGTTCGATCAGTCTAATTTCTGTCAGAGAGAAACAAATGATCACCTGGTCTCCTTACAGCCCATCTGCTGGGCTAACCCCACAGGAGGAGGAACTGGGCAGGTGCACTCATCATCTCTAAACGAGCCAGTCCTGCCGCATCGGTCAAGTTTGTTTAACTTTGCTTTAGGATAACATTTTGTGTTGGAGGCTTTATGTTAGCGTCTTTGTCCTGAAGAGCTTCAGTTTCCAGGATTTAAGTGACAACATTTTCCTGAGCTGAGGGATTAGGATTCTCTGGTGAGGTGATTAGTGATAGTTCTGTAATAAAATAACTCCAGGACACTTAAAACTTCCTTTTGCGAATCATATCGATTTATGATAGAAATCGATTCAGCCGTTTAAAAATACTGTTAGCTTTTAATATTGAATATAATTTTTCTGTGTACGGTTGTGTGAGCAAGTACTTTATAATTATAATTATTATTTTGTTTGTTGCAAAAGTTGGCAAAGCATAGAAGTTGACAATTCTTGCCATAAAAGTTTTCTCCTGGGTTTTTTGCAATAATATTTTGGAGAAAAGCTTCAGTTCTTTGAGGTCAGAAAAGTATTGTGTCGCAAAAGTAGTTTCCAGGTTTTTGGTAAATTGTTAAATGTCTTTCAGATTAGGTTGATTGTTCTGGGGAGCTTTCTGTGGCTACACGTCCAAATGTGATAGAGGGTTCCTATTGGTTGATGTGGGGAATGAACAGAAACTGGGGGAAACGGAAACCAAGTGTTTGTGTGGAGAGTGATGGTCTAGTTTGGAGCGAAGGTAGAGATGGAAGTCTTGCAGGGGGAACAGACTGCACAGATGATGAGGAGCCTTAAAAGTTGCCTAGAGATCCAGAGTATCCCAAAAAATTGAGATGTTTTGTTTTATTGAAAGAGAGAACTAAGAGACTTTTTCTTGGACTGGCTGACAACATTCAGTTGCAAAAGCGTTGGAGACACTTCCAACATTTTAAATGCTGTTTGTTTCACAGCACTGTTGGGAGTCGAGGGGGAGCAAGAGAGATGTTGACAGTATGCAGACAAAGTGCAAATGTTTTTTTAAACATGGTAACGACCCCTACATCCTCAGGCGTACCACACTGCATGGAGGTCTGTGGCTCTCGAGGCGGAATCATTGCAGACTCAAAGCGGAGTCCACGCTGCTCACAGAGTTGGCGCAGTACGGCAAAATGTGTCGAAGTCTTAAGTATACAGGAACTGGCTTCTGGTTGGTTCGCTGCTAGTCTTGCATCAAGTATGATCTTTCTGAAGTAATGTAACAATAACGTGGTTGTTTTTTTTATGGAATGTAGATAAAAGGTGTTATGTTTTATTTGGTTTTCTATTTGGATTTTAAATTGTTTGATATTGTTTTGTGTAAGCAAAGGCCTAACTACAGATAATGCAAAGGAGCTTAGTCTACAAACGTGAAAGGTATATAATCATCTCAGAAGAGAAATGTTTACAAACTTAATATTTGGACTTTTCAGACATTGGCTCCATTTAAATGAAAAACAGCCTATTCTGAAACAATCCAGTGCTGAACAATCAAAGCGGCACGAGACTTGAACACGTGACTTGAGCTCAAAACACAAAACACTACTCATATTTCCCCAAGAAAATATGAGTAGATTCAAGCAAACCAGTTAAAATGATTCCCAGCAGCTTTAGCTGTCCTCAGTTTCATAAAGTGTGAAAACGTCTGGAGATGGGCAAAATTTTGTTGCACTGGAAGGAATACATAACTAAAGTAATGCTACATTAAAACAGAATAACAAAGTTGAAGCTGATTGTTCGACTTCACAGGTCTTTGTTGCTCTGTCCAAATCTGACCATTAAATAAATCGTCTATTCATGAGAATTTTACTAAACTTTAGTTTTCACTGCAGCACTGTGCTGTATATTTGACATACATGGAAAAAAGATGCATTCTGTTGCTCTGCGGCTTTATTTAAATACTTAACGCTCTTTCTCTTGAAGGAATTCCCCTTCACGTTGTATGGCTTTGGGGCAGCTTTGTGTATAATTTATTATACTTCCTGATGCTCCAGATATATATTTTTTCCCTGCTTTATTCAAAATTAATATTTTACCATTCAAAATTTCCTTGTCGTGGTAATTTTTTACAGATATGTCTGAAAAGATTTAAAAGATTAAAAGCTGCTTTGTCTAATTTTGCACTGCTCCCCCCTGCTGAGGCTTAGAAATAGTTTGTAAGATATTCCCACTTTTGAAGTGTTATTAGCTTCAATGAATTACAAGTATCTAATTTGGCTATTCTTTCTAATGTTTGTACAGCATGGTTCTCAGTA